AAAACAAGGAACTTGATGGAGGTGCATAATTAACTTGGTCTCAAAATTGAAACTTTGCCTGCTAAATTTTGTTATAACAACTGTTAAATATTACATTTAAATCAGTTAGTAACGGCGGTTTGGCTCAAGTTAGCAGGTATATAAATAATATACAGTGAATACAATACCCCAACAAAATACTGAACGCACATGGGTACGTTCTTTCTACTGTCATTGTCCCTTTAGATCCATTTGAATCGGTTATTTCAAAAACCACATTATTAATTTTTGCTAAAATTAAGTTAATATTATATAAAGCTTTGTTAGGGGTTCCTACACGGTACATGTAAAAATCACATAAGTCAACTTAATGTTGTTTTTGCACGAACCTTTAATTAAAGTAGATTTTTTAAGAAGGTGTCTTTAGTTTAAAGCATCATCAACTTTCGGTTGGTTTATACTTACGTGAATATTTTTAAAAAAATTATTACGTATTGAAATTAAAATTTTTTCTCAACCTTTAAAAAGACAGACAGCGTCATCCAGAGATGTACAAAATAAATTTAATTAAGAAATCAAAAGTAATTGGGTTTAATCATACAAATTGGAAGGGAAATGTGCCTCCACGTGCTACTTTTGGACCCAGTTGCATGTAATATAATATTTTCTTCAACAACCTAAATAAATTACGATATTTTAGGTGTAGAATGACATGCTTTAAACTGAAGATGATTTTGTAAAAACGAATAGGACATTTTTGTGCAACAGTTGAAAATAAATCTGTAAAGAATCACCACGCAAAGAGAGTGCCATCGACTAATGGACAAAGTCCCTTGTTAACAAATCCAACCTCGAAGATTTTGTTCTTACGGAAAGTGAAAAACAAATATGTAAGAAAGCCTTTTGCTCTTACAGAATACCGCGTTAGACGTCTTTTCACCTTTTTTATTCTAACGCAAGTCTCTCAAGATAAACCAGGTCAACATCCCAAGGCTAATAAGACAACTCCTGAAGTTTTAAGGGCAATACATGATCATATCCTTGATGTTTCCCGAAAAAGAGCAGATAACTCGGGCAAAGATATTGAGTACCTAGGTGCACGCTTGGATGTCAAAATCATGCATGGTTTGTTTAAAAAAAAATTCAGAGACTTGAACGTTACTTATGTTTTTTCGTACTGGCTAGCCGACCGTCGGCGGTAGTTGAATTTAATAAAACGAAAACCGTCTTCCGGCGGCATGGTCTTCTCACATATAAGAAAGCCGCCGAAAATCTAAACTGATTTGTTGATGAGGGCGGCAGGCTATCAGAGTATTGATGAGGCCGCCATGCGACGGGCTACTGTATTTGAAACATTAAATACCGCCGGAAAAAAACTCGCGTATCGGGGACAACACTAATCATTTGTAATTGCTGTGGTGGGAAGTATTTGTGTAAATGCGTCTTATTTGTTTTCATTTACGCCGTGACTAGCAGTAGTATTTTATAAACCTTTGAAGCAAATTTCTCATACATGAACAAATAATAATAGTGCTGTGACAACAAGAAGACGAAGTAACGACTTCCAGCAGCAAAAATCATACTGGCTAACCGACCGCCGCGCCGGCGGTGCTTGCATTTGTTGAAAAGAAAACCGTCTTCCGGCGGCATGGTCTTCTTCATACAGGAAAGCCGCCGCAAATCTAAACTGATTTGTTGATTAGGGCGGCAAGCTATCAAAGAATTGAAAAATGCCGCCGGACGACGGTCTACTGTATTTAAAACATTGAATGCCGGTGGTAAGAAAAAATACTTGGAAAATCGTCTACATTTTAGTGGCAAATAATCATATGTCATATGCGTTTTATTTGTACATTGGTCTCCTTTTGACAGAGTAGATGAGCTGTGTCCAGGCCGTTGGTGTTTATGCCGGTCGGCGTAGCCAGGTATAGATTGAAATTTTATGGTGGCGGCGAAGCCGCCACCCTACGAGAAGTTGTTACTTCGTCTTCTTGTTGCCACGGCATTATTATTATTTGTTCATGTATGAGAAATTTGCTTCTAAGATTTATAAAATACTACTGCTAGTCACGGCGTAAATGAAAACAAACAAGACGCATTCACACAAACACCTTTCACCTCAGCAATTACAAATGAATAGTGTTGTCCCCGATACGCGAGTTTTTTTCCGGCGGCATTTAATGTTTAAAATACAGTAGACTTTATGCAGTAGACCGTCGTCCGGCGGCCTTATCAATACTCTGATACCCTGCCGCCCTCATCAACAAATCACTTTAGATTTTCTGCGGCTTTCTTATATGTGAGAAGACCATGCCGCCGGAAGACGGTTTTCGTTTTATTAAATTCAACTATCGCCGGCGGTCGGCTAGCCAGTACGATGTTTTTTACTCCAACTATTTTAAAAGAACTTTCTCTTTACGGTTTAAAATGCCTCAAGTAGATACAAGTGTAACTTGTAAAGAACAATCTATATTGGGACTTAACGCAAAAAATCACATCCCCAACTAGTCATTCATGAATTTCAAATACTCCGTGGCCAACAATACCCGAAGTTAAAGTGAGAGGGATAGATGTTCACAAACAAGTGTATGAGAAGATGGCGTCCTCTTTATGTTAAGAGCCATGGGCGTATCGTTATAGAGGGATATGAGATAACACATTAATATAATTTATGAAATTAATATTTTTGTGTTGAAATCTCTAAAATAAAAAAGGAGTAGGTATATATGAGATTCCGAAGGAGAGGGTTAAATAAAAAAATGTTTATTCGTTCTAAAGCTAAGTTCCATTTAGTGAAGATTTTTATGAAATTAATAATTAATCGGGCAACGAGCGAATATTTGAGGGACGAGCAGAGCGAGTCCCTGCAAAATGAACGAGTTACACAAAACGACATTTCGTGACGTGTTACATACAATATTTTTTCTAATTTTGACTAGATTTATAAAATTAAGACGTCAAATCGCCTGACAATCATAAATAATAACTTACTTATAATTTGGATATGGATATTCCTAGTTTTTCTCTGTAAAGCCATGTCAGTTTATTAATTGAAACAGTGTTTTGATTATTTTGGGCGTTTTTAGGATGGATCGACAGTTCAAATTAGTAACGGAACCATAATTAAAATTACTAAATAATTGTCAATTCACTGATTACATATATTTTTATATAGCCAATAATATTCCGTTGTTCGATATAAACTTACCAAGCAATGATTATTATTTTTGATTTTAAAACCAAAACAGCTTTATTTTTATATATTTTCTTTCGCGACTAGTGTCAAAATGATCTACTCTATGTAACTAGTTACTTAATGTTTAACTAGTGACATAAAGTAGATCATTTTGACACTTATTGCTGGGATTTCACAAAAGTCACTTTATATGTTAAAATTAGAAAAAATATTTTAATATATTACAATTCATTATTTTTCTATTATCAAGTTACTGAATTTGTAGACAGAAATAAAACAAAGTCATAGTCTCAAAGAATAATAAATATTATTCTAACTTTATTTATTTATTTACGGGAAAACCCAATTTTACAACAAGTAAGAAATATTAGTAAGGACCGATTCCACCGTTGTATTAAACATTGTCATTTTAATCTCCGTTTAATACAACGGTGAAATCGGCTCTTACATGCACAAATCTATCATGTAAAACATGACATACATCAACATACTGCAACATTATTATTATTAAAATAAATTTACAAAATATATACAGATAAAACCCTATTTTCACTAAAATAATTACGATTCCTATACAGTATGTGTATCACAAAGAGAAAAAAATGTATTTTAATTTTTTTTATTGATTTTGGAAAAGAATTACTTTTGTATTTATACTTCTAATTCTTTTTCTTTTCGCAAGATCCAACATTTTTTTAGTTTCATAATGTATTCGCACCTTGAAATAATTTTTAAGACATAGTTTTATTAACTGAGTGGAATGAGAATCAATAAATGATGTTTCATACAGGTGATCCCCAAAATGATTATATATATATCACTACTCAAAGATCTCATTACATTGGTAATTAGAATATCTATTAATATTGTGTTGTACTTATTTGATATACATTAGGATACACAGGAAATATTGTAAAATAATAACACTCATTGAACCAACTTTTTGACTCACCCTGTATACGTATATTTTTTATAATAAGAAAGTGTCATTTACAAACACTTGTATAACCAAATATAAACAATTTATATTTAATCATTATTTTGGAAATTAAACGATTTTTTAAATATTCAGTTTTTTCCTTAATTTAAAAAATTAGGTACTCACCCTATATAGTTGTTTTTCAAAAAGTTGGCATTGTATTCTGGCAGTCACAAATATCTTAGAGAGTAAAACCGTAACTTTTTATATTTATCAGCAAAATAACAACATTCACCTGTTGAAAGTTTTTTTGAAAATTATGAGAATTCACAGGTTCAAAACCAGTCATAGAATATCTGTGCCCAAGGACACTTTTAATCTGGAGGTCAAAAACTGCAACAAATATTAAATGTTTGTCTATGTAACCAAAGTGATTTTATTGAATGTTAAAAAATACTTACATTTTCTTGATTGGCTATTCTGCAATATACTTATAGTTGATTCACTATCTGATTCAGCACTACTGCTTGAAGGTGTTGATGCTCTAAATAGAATATATGAAACCATTTTAATTTTTAAAGTGGATATTGATAAATAAGAAAACTTAAATAGTAGAACTATATAATATTATGATATCAGAACCTATAAGATATACGAGTATATAATTATTGAAATGGGGCCAAAACTGTATATTTTAGAGAATGATGCTATACTTATAGACAGGAAAATATTCGGGAAATTTCTCAAGTCATCTAAATAACAAATTAAGTATGCATTTTCAAACTAAACAAACATTATTTTAATAAGTACATGAATACAGAAAGTACTCTCATTCACATTATTTCTCAATATTTTTAAAAGTAATTGACAAAGCAGAATTCGGAATATCTTATATTTTTTTATACAGTATTTTGTTAACTTTCTTTACATTTATACAATTTCTTATATGCCTAAATATAATTCTATTTTACTTTGATATAGGTTTGGCATCATTCTTCAAATATTTCCTTCCACTTGGTTTATATTCAAAATCGTTGAACAAATCTCAGCAAATTTAGGGATAACCTTCCCTTCCTCAAATCCTAACAAAGAGCACCAACTCTTTCTCCTCTCAGAATCAACAGCAAACCTAAAAGGCATGTAACTATTTAATTGAAAAATTACCTGATAAGAAATATAAAATACCTAGGTAGTAATACAGAAAAATGAAATGTACTTTAGTTGTTAACTCATCTTCATAAATTTAAAGCAAAAAAATTGAACATGCATAATTTTACATAGCTGAAATAAGTAAGAAACAGTTTTTTTGTTGTTAAAATATTGACTTTTTACCAAAAATAAAAAATTGATACGCCTGTGACTATGTTACTATAACTTCTATTTAAACGATTTAAGCTTACCTGTGAAATGTAACATCGGGATTTAAATAATCCAGTTCTTTGCACACTAAACACTGTTTAACCATATTTGTCTAATACAATAAAATTAAAACAATAAGTCAATGTAAAACACAAAATAATAAATTTATCCGTCAACAATAACACACAAACAAACAACGCTGGCAAAGAAGAAGATGGCCGCCCAGAAAACAATCGTAAAATTCTATAGCTACTCGCCTACTATGTTCATTCATGAAAGCAAGAAATCGATAAAGCACTGTTGCCACAGTTTAAGAATTTCGGTAGAAATTTAGATCAATCGCAAAGCATTTTTGTCAACATTTATCCATTTGAAACGATTTCCGATATTATTAATTTCGAAAATTAATTAAACCGTTTTAACATATGTAAAATCGTTTTATCAAAACAAAATATATAATTTTCCATGATTTCCATGATAATTTTAACATATATGTAAGGTTTTGGCAATGACGGAAAAAAATATAGTAACTGTGACAACATTGAAAGGTGATATCCGCACGACGGTTAGATTGGACAATATTGTTGGTGCGTGCAAAATTGTAAACAATCGTTATCTTATTTATTCTTTATCTATGCAAAAAATGCTGATGCCGAGGCAGAATTGCTTGTCCACAAAAGACGAGCTAAAAAATAGACTTTTGTCGTTCTCTTTATGATGCTGCAGCTTTAACGTTCGACTGTATGCAAAATTTGCTTTTACCAAACAAGAAATATTGGATGAACTGTTTTGGAATAAATATTGAAATCAATGAATCCGTATTTTAGGTTGATCATGAGGGCTTAGCAGACAAAGGTGCCAACGATGTTTACTCTATGATTCTTCACTACTTGGATCCCTTTTTGAATAAAAATATCATTGAGCTATACCGCTTTTGAGATAATTGTCCAGGTCAAATTAAAAACCATGAAGTTAATAGGTTTTTATTATTTCTGAGATATACAAAACATTTTTCAAGAACTTTCCTCGATATAGAAATGGTAAAAGCAAGGAACTCCTAAGCACTTAAATTTTATTAATTTAAAATTAAAACCACCAAACTAAAAACCTTTTTCCACATTTCTCTCTCCATCGATTTTCCTCTAGTTTTCACCCGAGTTCTCACTTCGCGCCCACTCGGTATTCTTCGTCACGATCACTGTTATTGAACAATAATGATTGGCTGCTTTTTAAATGGTGTAGTTACACAAACCAAAAGGACGCTTTTTATTTTTTCGATTCAAGTGGGACCATTTTTGTATTAAATACGATTCCTTTTAGGGCCATTTTGAATTTTTTAAAACTCATTTAGGATTTGTAATTTTTGACTTCTACAATTATCAGACACCAATTTTAGTCGAAATCTGCCGACTTTTCAAAATAATTTTTACTGCTCACCCTGTATATAACTGATCGGAGGTATAACTGGGTTTGTGCCAGAAAGGAACCTTATCTTCATTCAAAATTTGAAGTTTTTCTATGAGTATAAAGCCGTTTTTAAGATATCGCGCCAACAGACAGACATACAGACCGACGGAATGGGGAAACATGTTTTTCGTTATCTAGGGACACTGAAACGTGAAAATCTGAAATAATCTCGAAAGTGACTTTTTCACGATTACGATAATTTTCTTTTAATGAGGGATGTAAAAATAACTCATTATTGTCCAATATAAGGTTACTCATATCTTTTCAATGACCAGTCAACATTTTGTGCAAAATGTATTTGTCAAATATTATTTATCCTAACTGTAGCTCATGGAAATTAAACATTTTAGTAAATTAAATTTAAAATTTAACATAAATTTAAATTATTATTAAAACTTCAGAGTCGATTACATTTTTATCAACTCTATCAACATTTCAATTATGCAATTTAAATATTGTTCGAATTATAAATTATTTAAACAACGTTTTTACTGATGGAACCATAATTTAATACCTTCCACGTGCAGTAAATATTATTTTTGTTAATACTATTCGTAACAGGTTTAAATGAAATACCTGCATGAAATAAATATAAAAAAGATAAAGGTATCTTTACAAGTTTTGATTTGATTAATCAATATGATATCAGTCAAATTAAGTGCATCTGTACTAGTTTCATGTATTTTATGTATCAGCCAGAACATATTCTTCTATACAGATAGTAGAGAAGTACTACTCACCATGGACAGATCACAAATTCGCTCAGAGATGGTACTAGAATGTCACGAAGCTTTGGCCAAAGTATCCATCAACAATACGTATACCTCAAGATGGACCAATGGTCAAGCAACATCGAAAAGTGACCGTATTCAGTTTTCGTTTATGTCGACCCCTGAGAAACCGATTTCGACCCCAAGGGGTCGGTAGCGACTACTTTGGGCATCGTACATCGTATATGAATGATGCTTTGGGAGTCCCTGGTTTAGATTTTTCACTATTTTCAGCGGCACTTCAGGAACGGTACTGTTCATTGGGATACAAAAGTATTAATGTTAAAACCAAAATCTCTATTTATCAAAATATATTTTTTTTTTGGTTACCAAATTTTTAGTTTTGTTAAATTGAAAATACTCCGAATATTACACTGTTAAATTAAGTATGTTATATTACTCATTGTTTAAATATTTTTTAAATAACATTTGTATATAGTAAGCCTTTTATCTATGAAAGTTATAAATTTAAATAAAAAGTTAAATCCATCCTTGAGTTGTTTTTAACTCTGTCATTTTTTATAATATATAATATGAATCACCTAATGATCGCCAACAATTATTGCCTACTGACTGATATTATTTACAGGGCGATTTAAAATCCGATTAACATAAAATTAAAATGTAATGAAGAATAAATTTTAAAATCAAAATTCTTAAACGATTTTTCGATAAAATAAAGAGTTTATTACTTAAATTTTAAATTGAAGGTGGAGGAAAGTTTTTAAACTAGCTTTTCAAAGGCAAATACAGTGTCGACGAAATGACAAATTAAGCTAGGCCAACTAATTCACATTTGTATAAATTAACTTTATAAATAAAAGTAAACATCCAGGTATTATCAATAATACCCAAATATCTTACGTTAATACAGCAAAATATTTAAATATCACTTTGGACGCAAGGCTGAGCTGGAGAGCTGATGTAAAAAAGAAGAAATAAGAACTAGGAATATAATACAAGAAAATAAAAAATATAATGTCTGCCCGAAAGGCATTCTAATATATCAAATAACAATAAATTATTCCTGTATTAACAGGTACTTAATCCAGCATGAGCATGTGGCATTTAGATACGTGGATGTGCCAGCAAGAGAGACACTGATAATAATATAATACAGCTCTTCCAAAGTACTGAGGAACATAATTAATTCTTCTTGATACTTCTGATTTTTACTCGGACTCGGATATGGCAACGCATTAACTAGATCATCAAGAATTTTACAAAAGATAACGAACACTGATTCTACAATCACGTAATGTCAAAGCTATCCAGCTCCTTGATAACACAAATCTGAAAAGAAGACTGAAAATGGTAAAATCATTTGAGTTAGTGAAAGTGTGGTAGATACACACGTTAATATTAGTGTAAATAGTCAAGAACAATATACCAACACCTTGATAAAAAGTCAGTTATTGTTGTTGCGTCTAAATCTCGAGAGTATTTTAATCTGAATTTGATGAGACAATTTTGGCGTTTATAATCAGATTAAAATTATTTCCAGGAAACAATTATTTATTTATTTGTAATATCCATTTATATTTTTTTTTTATTTCCTTTTATCAGTGGCGGCTCGCTAGATGACGCAGGTGACGCACTGCTTCACCCAAATTTCAGTAGAAATTATTGAAAAAATCAACTGAATAGCTAAATATTTCGTTTTCTATTACAAAATGCTCTGCATTTTTGTCTCTATACAAATTACAAAACAGAAACCTCCAAAACTGTACCTAATTTTGAAGTATCTGGACCACTGCATGAAATAAACAAGGCGCTTGATAAAAAAAATCCGACCGTCCGGGCTCGCTTGTTTTTGGAAATACAATAGAAAAATTTCCTAATCCGAGCGAACGGAGCGCTTGACGCGCAATGCATAAAACCGCCGAACACGCGTCTCTTCCATCGGCGCGTTTATGATGGTTGCCATGGTAACGGTACGTTTCGATCTAGCCGATTAATGCACTTGACGTGTTGATTCAGTTTGCTTCTTCCGGTCGGGACTATTTTTATACAGTCGTTGGACTAGTTGGTCAATTGCGACTATTGCGAGTTTTTTTTTCGATTTTTCTAACAATGTTTCCAATACATCATCCAATATGTATGCTATTGGAGATGCCATTCTGTAGATGGGGAAGTGAGGATAAAAAAGACTTTATATTCACCAAAACCTGAACCTCTACTAAATGTAAGCAAAAAACGAAGTCAAAAGACAAAGTGTTTGTGTAGTAGTTTTTATTTTAACAAGCTTTTTGGCGTACCCTGTTTGTGTTTGATAATAGGTGTAAAATCAAGTGTATGAAATAAAGACGGTTTTAGTGATTTTGGGAACGTAACTCGAGGCCTACATAAACATGAATCATCATGTGAACATATGCGTTATGCATTAAGATTTATAGAATTAAAAAAAAATAAATACTATTGAAGACGCTTTAAAAGAAAACTCTGGGCAATTTAATGAAAAAGTGCATCTTAACAGACGTTTTATGCAGTTGCCAATTCGAGCAGTTCTATTTCTAGGAAAACAAGAATTGGCATTTCCTGGTCATAATGAAGATAAATCTTCCTATAGCTGACTCATTTCTGTAGACATTCAAAAACACTATAAAAAAATGTCGCTTGTATTTGACGCACATTCTAAAATAATTCATAATGAATTAATAAACTGTATTTTTCAATACATATATTGACAACAGTGTTGCCAGTCTAGTACAATTGTACTAGATCTAGTACATTCTCTGAGAATCTGGTACTCTAGTACACTCGGTACAATATCTAGTACTTTTTTCAGCGTATGTTTCCATTTGAAGTGTAAAATATTTGGTCAAAAATTGCAAGAGAAATTAAAATAGTTGTTAAAAATTACTTCAGAGATAAAATAGTAGACATTTCTCGAGAGATAAAACATTGTTTAAAAATTGTACGAGAGATCAAATATTGTTCAAAAATGGCTTGAGAGATAAAAAAGGGTGTTAAAAGTATAAAATAGTATTAGAAATTGCTTGAGAGGTAAAATATTGTTCAAAAATTGCTCTAGGGATAAAAATACTGTT